ATCATGGGCAGTTTGGCACAGTGGTTAGTGCCCTGTCTCTAGCGTACTGCGCCATGAGACAGTGCCTGGTTCGAATCCAGGGCTGCCCCCTTGAGTCGGTGAAGACAACGTAGCTTTTTCATTCGCCGGAAAAGGGAATATTTTTAGTCACGTGACAAACTTTTGCCACAGACCCCCTTTTGGTAGTCGAAGTAAAAGCTACTTCTTCGTCCAACACGGTAGTACGGCGCAGTGGTAAGGCCATCTTTCGAGGGTGTAAAACTCCTCGCAAGACTCCTTGGTTCGAATCCAAGTACTGCTCATATGCGATCTCTTCGGTGCCCTTTTTATTCTTCTGACTCTCTCTCCTTCACCTTCGGTGGCAAGGGTTGCCACAGCTGCGGCTGCTGGTCAACCTAAAGGCAAACTCCCTACCCATCATGGTAGTTTGGTACAGTGGTTATGCCCTCTTGCGGGTTTGTTACGACTAGCAAGAGCCTCCTGGTTCGAACCCAGGGCTACTCAATGTAGGTTTTCTGGAGACGGTTTTTCTTCGTGGGGTTCCGACGGATTTTTCGTTTTTCGTCGGACACCAACTGGTCTTAAGTTGTCCCGCTCCGCCGGAAGTTTTGTTACGGTGGCACAACTTGCCACTGTAAACTTCGCTTGGCCAAAGTAAAGGTAACCTCGCTACAGATCATGGTAGGATGGCATAGTGGTAATGCCCTCTTGCACGTTTCCCATAACTCGCAAGAGTCCCTGGTTCAAATCCCGGCCTACGCAATGGTATTCCTAGATTTGATGGTTTTTATCTGTCGTGTCTCTTTGAGTCTTATTTTTCCGTGGGCGTCTCATTTCAGTCTTAAACTTTTTCTGTTCCGCCGGAAGTTATTGTTCCGGTGGTAAAAAGCTTTCCACAGCAAATCGCGCTCGACTAAAACAGAGATAACCTGGATTTCAGCCACGGTAGGATGGCATAGTGGCAATGCTCTCTTGCGGGTTTCTTTACAACTAGCAAGAGCCTCCTGGTTCGAATCCAGGGCTACCCAATGGAGGTTCTGGGAAATTGCTTTTTTTTTCTTTAACTTTTGGATCCATC